AGACAGAGTATAGTTATCGGTGTTACCAAACATGTGTCTAAAATGAAATCGGCCTGAATGAGAAACCCCAGAAAAGGTGTACCGACCAAATGCATCTCTTTAGGGCTTAACTGATTAAGGCAACAATCCTTTCTTCTTTTCTTCTTTGGTTTGTTTCTCAAGCAAAAAATTACTTATCTTTTCCTTTTCTTCCACGCAATAACCTTTCTTATTTTTATTCTTCTCGCAGCGGTCTGCTTGTAGGTAGGAGTCTGTGTTCTTCGAATTTTAGCACTTACTACGAAGGAATGGCGAGTAGAAAGCTGATTCGAGATTTACTCATCACAAGGCAGCCTCTGTTCCTCCGATTGGTCCATCAACGGGTCCCGTGTCATTATCCGATTTTGTTTTTAATGTTTGTGATTACGACATGGGCTGATTTGATTTGGTAATTTTGTGTGTTTGTTTAGAGTTTGGGCGCAAGGGTAGGGTTTCTGCGACCCAATGGGTATTCGATTCATCGTCAGTTCAGTGTTTTCAGCGATTTTTCCAAGAAAATTAGAGGGGAAGCTGAAAGGTATTGTCTTTTTGATGCAGACTTGTTATTGTATTGGATAATGTTCTTAGTTCCAAATTTTGTTTACATACTGTTTGCAGCAATCCTGAATTTCAACGAACAGTGAAGGAGCTTAAAGAAAAGGCACAAGAGCTTCAAGGCGTAAAAGAGGACCTCAAAGTTAAGTAAGTTCACTTTCCTAGAGAGACATACATACATTGATGGTGTTTCAAAAGAAGCTTATGAATGAGATGGAAAAACGCAGAACAAAAGAGAAGACCGAGCAGCTTTACAAGCAAGTTGATGGTGTCTGGACTGAGGCTGAATCTGTCGCCAAAATGGTACTAGAGCCACCATATTTTCTAAAGGCATTATCAGTAGTACACAATTAAATTAAAAAAAAAAGTGCAAAGAGTCCCTAAAGCTCTTCTTTGGCCAGATTTGCATATTTGGTTTGTCTATGTTAAGAACCATTTTTCTGTTCATGTATGTGTGAAGTATCCCTTGTAGTTTGGTGAACTGTAACTCGCTATATATATATATATATATACATATGTATTGAGGACCCATTTTAGTACATTGTTAAAGACTATAGAATTTTTCCTTACCAAACAGCTTTGGTGGTACAGGTCTCTTCCAGTGTGAAAGATACGTTCTCAGCGGCCACAGAAGAGGTATTGCTGGAAGTCAGCTTTTTTTAGTCCTTTCAGTGGTCAATTTTGGCAATTTTTGTAGGGTTAAATTCGGTTATGCATTTGTTGTGGTTAGGTCAAGGAGTCATTCAAGCTGGGTAAGGAGGAGAATGCAGAGTCAGCAAGTTCATCAGGCACAGGAACCTCTAAAGAGGAAAACCAGCAGCAATCAGGAACTACTGAGGGAGGTCAACATACACTATTTGAAAAACTGAAGTCAAGCGTTTCTTCTCCCCTTGACATTGCGAGGAAGGGACTTGACATTGTGAAGGATGAACTGCGAGGAGGCCCGTCGAGAAAGAAGCACCTGGAGTACACGCCTCCCCCACCATTTACAGGTGTGAAAAGTACAAGAACGGATCTGGTGGTTACTCCAACAAAACAGACCAAGTGGCAAAAGAAATGGGAATCTTTAAGAGAAAAGGTAAGCGACCCTCTTTGTATTTGTCCGCCTTATGCCATGCTATGTAAGGCTCTTGTTTGCTAACTTTGAATTTTGGTCTAGATGCAAGCCCATCCTGCTTTTAAACGTCTAAGCGGTATGAGTGAGCCTGTTATCAACAAGAGCCAAGAGGTAATGAACGAGTTTCTCTGTTTACTAATTTGGTTCAAAGATTTCTGTCTTGCAATAATCTTTTTGATGATTCTGTTTTGCATTTGTAGATTGCAGAAGATGTTGTGGAAAGATGGGAAACCAGTGACAACCCGATTGTTCACAAAATTCAGGAGTAGGCTCTAATTGCTCCCTTATTAACTTACTTGAAACAGTGAACGTAAAAAAACTTATATATATTTGTGTGTTTGGCAGCTTAAATGAGGCAGTGTTTAACGAAACAGATTCTGGATCAACTTACAAAGAGATACGCCGCCGAGATCCGTAAGTTGTAGAGGCTGTGATTGGTCTGTTGCAAAATAGTCCCTCTCTCGGTTAATGAATGATATTCTTATATCTTTTTCATGGTCAGATCGTTCTCCTTGCCGGACTTTGCTGCAGAAGTTCATGAAGCCATCAGACCAGTCTTGAGTGCATACAGCAAGGTGAATCTCTGGTTTTGAAATGGATCATCTACTCCTATCTTCGATCCTTTTAATTAGTTTCCCATCTCTGATATGACAGGGAGATGCTGAGACCTTGAAGAAGTATTGCAGCTCAGAAGTGATTGAACGGTGCACGGCAGAGCAGGCAGCTTTAAAAGGCCATGATCTTTTTTTCGATCACAAGGTAAAGTTTGCTTCTTTAAACATTGGTTCACACCCACGAGAAAGACATGAGTAAATGACATTCATTTTTTTTTTGTGGGTTCAGATTCTGCATATATCGGAAGTAGAAGTTGAAGAAACAAAGATGATGGGAACCACGCCCATAATAATCGTCAGGGTATATGATCTTCCCATTATTCTTAAATGAGGTTAGCTAAGATTTTGCATCTGATGGATTTGTATCATCTTCGATGTCAGTTCCAAACGCAAGAAATCTTCTGTGTTCGTGACAAGAATGGCAAAATCAAAGAAGGAGGCCAGGTTAATAGAAACAAATAATCAAAAACATATATGAATCAACAGTGCTTTAAGACTTTGTTGTATTTGGATGTAGGACACGATACACTCAGTGTACTACAAGTGGGCAATGCAACAAGTGGAGGCAGGGGAAGAATCTATGTATTCCATTTGGAGGCTCAGGGATGTATATAAACTTGGTGCTGCTCAAGCTCTCATTTAAATTTTTGGTTTGGTTTTGTCCCTTTTTTAGACCTTCAAAGCTAATCCCTCTTTATATCTCTGCATTTTACCATTAGAGTATATTATTTACTCAAACCTTGTTCACTCTTTTCCCTCCAATTTTCGTTTTATCCTTCTCTCAGGAAGAACTGGGTTCCCATGTTTTGGCAAATATAGTTGGGTAAAGAAGGTTGTTAGTTTTGTCAGTCCTAAGGGGGCTAAAACAGTCTTTAGAAAATAAAATAAAAATAGATTTACAATCCGTAATTAATTGTTTTTAGTTTTATTTTAATCAGTGGGTTATTTGAGACTTATTATTTGACAAATGTTACAAATGTGTATCAAACTTTAAGCAGCAAAACTAGAGTATGTATCTTGAGATTAGATTTTGAGAAGCAGCGTAGAGATTAACTAGAATATTTACTTATTATTGATACATTTCTCAGTTTTATATAATTTTCATCAACTGTAAATGGTACCCTCTCAAAGTTAGATGAAGAACAAAGACAATGTTACAAATGTGTATCTTGGGATCATTAGATTTTGAGAAGCAGCGTAGAGATTAAGCAATAAATGGAATATTCTTGGGTTACTTTTTGTCTTCCTCGCGTCCGAACTAAGCTCAACACAACCTCTACCTTGTATATAAGTCATGTCTTATCTCCCTCTGGATTTCCTCATTCATCCAGCGTCATGTCTTGCCTGAGAATTACCCCAGTCAAAAGAGTTTGGAAGAGCTTAACCACCAAATTCCACAAGCTCCGGATATCCAAAACCAAAATCCAAACCCGGTACGGTGCATCAGCTTCACGCCACCCAACCGAGAAGAATCTTGGAGACAGAGACTCGAGTGTTTTATTCCTTATCCGGCTAAAGAGAGGTTGCTTGTTACAGAAGAAACGCAAATCTGTTGTATACGTTGATAAGCTCTTCAGAGAACCCATTTGGATTCCAGCAAAACAGTGGAAGCCTAAGGAAGAATTGGTTCCAGAGAAGGGAATAGACGAGAGAGCCCAAGAGTTCATCAACAGAATGAAAGCAGAGATGATCGCTGCACGTAACTCATAAGCAGACTTGATAACTAGTTTTTTACTTCCTTCTTGTGTATATGAAAAGTCATTTCTCTAGTGGATTTAGCATGAGTCTGGCTTATAAATCTTTTTCCTTTTAATAATATACTAGTTCACTTAAAAAGATGAGCTAAATCGGATGAAGTGATAAAAAAAAAAGTGGATGTGTACCTTATGACAAAAGCTCAAACTGAGACGATTGTCTGTTTGATAAGAAGTACGCTATTTTGGTTAGTCCCTAGAAAGCAGCCAAACATCCAAAGAAGAAGTGGTTTGAAAAGTTTTAAGTTGACCGGAGCCAATGAGATCTCTCGTTTCGTTTGAAGCTCGACCAAGAACATCCTTCCTTCCCTGATCAGATTGAGATTTAAGAAAAAGGTTGATCTATATATATATGGGGTTATCTGCAATAGACCCTTCTACAGATTACCGATGGCAAAATAGATGTCTGGATGAATAAGTTGGCGTGTCTGAGAGACAACCCAATCCCTTTTCTGTCTAACATGGACGAGGCTGCCTAAGAGCACTGTTATTGCTAAACTAAAAACGGAAGTGCTTAAAAAATTTTTGTTTTTTTTTTTGTTTTCTTTAGAATTAAAATAAAAACAGAAAAATGACCGATTGCTGACCGCCACGTGTCGTGGGATCCGCAGATCAGGCCAAAGCAACAGCCCAGAAAAACGTTTATTCTGGAGTTTGTAACCTTGACTTTTGGTGCTTTTTGTGATCCCTTCCCCTAAACACTCCCTTTAGCACCAGGATGCATGTGCGCTAATCTCTGTCTGCCCCAAGCTTAGTTGCAGTGGTGTTTATTATGTGACTAGTGGTCTAGTTCAGTGAAGACAATACAAATCCTTTTTCTTTTTTTTTTTGTTTTGCTTTTGAGATAGGAAGATGCATATATAATTGTAGGCATGCTGCTTTGCCTTGGTTCGTTTGATCAGTTAAATTTGATTCAAACATATTTCGATTTTTTAATCAAATTTGACACTCTTAAATTTTGGTTTCTTCACGAAAAGTAGCAAAATTGCTCTTTTAACTCACTACTATTTGGAGACGTACAGAGATGGTTTCATTAAGAGACAACATAGCCAGTAACATAAAAAGATCAAAAAGAAAACAAGAAAAGCTTTAGCCTTTTCAGTACTTGACAGGTGCGCCCTGGATCGGTAGAAGACCAAACCGTTTCTTCAACAAAACTCTCTCCTTTGAATACTTATCATCAGGGGAGAATCGGGCTGTAAAAGCACAACAAACCAATTGGTTTTTAATAACTCAAACATGGATTTCTTATAAGACCACAAAAGGGTTGTGGGGGGGAAGAAGCTAGACTCACCTGGATGGGCAGATTCAGTGGCTGACCCGAGCGGTGATTCCTTCTGCACAAATTTTATTTGACTCATGTTTAGGAAATAATAACACAGTTTGTTTGTACAATCAGTGAGCAAAGTACTATACTAACTTCAGCTAGTACTGTTAAATAACTTATAAGAAATCAGTAACATTCCCTCAGAACTATTATTACAAGTTATATACATAACTACAATCTCTAACAAGAAAAAAAAAAAAAAAAAACAGAGACTTTGTTCCGGAACCTAGAAAAATAAGAAGAAGAATACCAAAAAGAGAGAGGAGAATAGAAAGACCAAAAAGGGTACCTTAGTGGTGTAAACCTTCTCGCCCTTCTCGTTGATATAGCACTGTAGATACATGTTCGTCCTTTTGTTATTTCAATGATAATCTCTGTGCAATCAAGAAAACTAACATCAGCGAAGACCAAAAAAAAAAAAAAAAGTAGCCAAAGCTGATTGAGATTCACAAAACAAGATGGTACGTACCTCAGAGATGTTTTCCTGCCGCCGAGCATACGATTAGGGTTGACAGGAAATCAAATGGTTTTCAGTCAAATGTATATAAACTTTTTTTTAAAACAATGGGCTTTGGATAAAAACATTTAAGCCCAATAAGGACTCCAATTTGACCGATTGGTGGTAATAATAATTCCTAAAATCGATCGCCGACGATGGGGAAATCTACGGGAAGAGACTCTGGCGAAGACACGGAGACAGAAGAAACTGTGCTCAGATTGCCCTTCTACCCACTCATGAGACCTTCTGAATCGTAACAGAGTTTTTAGTGTCTCATGTATTGTGATTGTCCATGTTGATAGTTTTAAGACCTGAAAAAAGTGATTCGGTATTTGTGCCAGCAGCAGTCCAGAGTGTAATTTCACCATACATTACCATCACATGTAAGCATTGCAAAACTTTTAAAGTTTGGTTCGTTGAGGGGTTTTGTAATCCATCACGTGGAGTGACTCTTTTTTTTTTAGTTTTCCTGTAACTTGAGAGAGACACTTGTGACATGAAATCCTTGAATGAGTAAACGGTCTTCCTCTCAAACATTTATATATAAATATTTGGCATACGACTCGTAACCACCATTCCTATTTTTCTTGACAAACTGATTTGTATGTTGTATTGGTTTTGGTCATCGACTGTTGATTATGCACATTTGGTCTGGATGGATGCATCTAAATGGATGCCATCCGTGGTTGCTATTCGGTGGATGCATCTAAAAGAATATATCTCAAATATTTTTATTCAGTTCCTAACTACTCATATATTATATATATATATATATATATATATCTACTATAATATAGGAGATACTGATGATTGTAACAGAACGTGTTTTATATACTTTTGTAACCTCATTGAATAGATCAAGTAAGCTATTGAAACTTTCATGGTATTAGAGCAAGGCTCTCTCTAATCCTTTTCTTTTCTTTTTCCTTTCTATCTTTTTTATTCTTTCATTATCATTGCTTCTCTCTTCTTCAAACCGCCATGGCAAATATCGAGAAAGCTTTTCAATTATGATGCTTTGAGAGAGCTATTCCTAACACTCTGTCTCACCTTTGACTTGTTAGGACATGTAGATGGGACATCGACTCCCAATGGCCCAGACGACACGTAGTGGAACAAACGCGATGGCTCGTCAAGTTATGGACCTACGACACTCTTTGACCCATCTCAATTCAAATCCACTTTCAAAACTGGAGGCACGTCAAGAGAGATTTGGCTCAGAATTGAGAACCAATTCCATAACAACAAGGAATCACGCGCCATACAACTAGACAATGATCTCTGTACCAAGGAGATAGAAGATCAATCGGTTCGAGAGTACTCACAGGGACTCATATCTCTTGCTGATCTGTTGGAAATCGTCGAGGCTTCAGTCAGCGACAAAACTCTGTAATGTATATGCTTAATGGCCTCAATGAGAAGTTCGATCACATCATTAATGTCATCAAACACCAGAAGCCATTTCTAACCTTTGAAGAAGCTCGAAACATGCTTGAGCTAGAAGAAACAAGACTCAAGAAAACAAGCAACCTCGTCATGACTACAAATGACAATCCGTCTTCATCAACAACTTTGGTTTCCACAACTTAGAACAAGAAGTTGACAGAACCACAACAACAATGAAACAACGCGGGAACAGACGTGGATACCGTGGCAGAGGGCGATACTACAAAAACTATCAACAACGTTCTATGTAAGTCAACTAGGGAATGGGTATGCCTACACCATTGATGTTAGGAGTTTGCAAGGCTCATAAGACAAATGTTGTAGTATAAATGATTGTCAAACCAATTCTAAGGGATTTAAAGGCACTGAGAATGCAAGTACTCACTTAATCTAAGTGCGATCGAATAATCAGATGGTTTTAAACTATGACTAATACTAAAGTGTAAAAACAGAATACGAAAAACTATAATTAAGATGACTTCTTTTGATTAAGAGAAGGGAGAACTCATGGGAGTAGGGATTGGACCTTGGGTGATCAAAATTCAAACTAAGGATGACAAATGATCAATTAAACTATCAACCTTAAGCCTAGACACATCTCTAAGCAAGCTCTATATCTAGATGAATGCTCATTTACCAACATAACTCAAACATCAAATGTCTTCGGTTGAATGTTATAGTAGTAATATTTAAGAACAAGTCTATTAGCCATATTAACACCTTTAAAAACAAATGTCTTTGGTAAAGTATGTTAAAAGCTTAGGAGAGTTAGCTCAGGCATTTCATCGAACACCTTGTGAGGTGGGAAATGCCTAAAGCTCAACCTTTGAGATGCCAACTCAAAAGATGCATTAAGAATACTCTACTAGCAAGGAAAAAGAGAAATCTACACTAAGCATCCTAGTTCTAGCCTAATCACTTTAATCTCCCTAACCTATGAATTCAAAGGTGGATTACTCACTAATCTTCATGATTCCTCTCAAACTCAAATTGGATTCAAGCTTAATCATGTAAAGATCAGTAGATAATGCAATGAAACAAACAAGATCACAAGAACAATGAAAACGATTCAAAAGAGATGAACTTTTCCAAGAGGTTTTTGTGTTTTCTCCTCCAGATCAAAGATGATTCTGCCTGGTAGGCTACAAAGAGTACTTAAACTTAGGTTTATAAAGTGTAAAACCATAAAACAAATGACCAAAAAGTCTCTGAAATAACTTAAGTTTCATCCAAACAAAGACACGTAGCGACCTGGCTACATCGCTCCGGGAGGTCGCTCTAGCTGGGAGCGACCTATGGTCATCTCTCCAAGATGTCGCTCCGAGGGTCATTTTGTCGGCTCGCGATTCGTAAAAATGAGAGCGACCCAGGCGTGTCGCTGTGGGGACGTCGCTCTAAAGGTGGGAGCGACCTTGGTAGGTCGCTCTAGCAGGTTGCTCCAGGCCCCTTTTTCGTGCAACCAAGTGACAAAGGCCGAGCGACCATGATGTCTCGCTCTAGCGGTCGCTCTGTCTTGGGAGCGACGTCATGGGGTCGCTCTGGCACGTCGCTCCAGCTCTACTCGTGCAATGATCACTCTTTACTCAACTTTTGAGCCTCAAATGCATCAAATCACCTCCAAGGGTACTCCAATACCTATTAAAGACTCATGTATGCAAAATGCAACCTAGAAATGACTAAAACTTAATCTATATGATCAAAATGCATATGGATGAATGGATAAAACAATGGAAATATGCAAGATATCAACTTGTTCTTTACTTGTCTTCAAGTGAACTTTCTAAAACTCATAGGAAGAGAGGTTTGAAGGTGGGAGCTCATAGCCAAAACAAACACATCAAAGAACTCAACTTGACATCCTAAAGAGACATAGCAAATAGCATGAGCACACTCTCTTATTATACTCTAGCTTCTCTAGGACTATCAACACACTCTAATGCCTTTAAGCAAGGTGAAAAACTCTTCAATTAACAAGCTATTTTAACCAACTCTCACATTAGTTCACACACACACATACAAGGTGAATTCTCACAAATGGGCACATGATCTCAATCATTTGGCTAGGTAAGCGAATGGTCTAATGAGAATGCAGAGAAAGGCTCAAATGCATCATTTTTAGTGGCTATCACTCAAGAACAAGAAGCTTGATCATTATGCAAAATTTATCTAAGACTAGAGGCAACTCATGCATACATAGTCTTATTCTCATCATTCTACTCTTTTCCTAAGTGATGACAAGTTCTAACCCTTTTTCTTCATCCCATGATCCCAAATAACCTGACTCACATCTTGCGTCCAATGAACAAGTTTCTCCCACTTTTTTTTATGAATAACAAAACCAACTAGGGATTCTTCTCACACTTTCTACTTCTTAGCTCTAACTTTCTTTTATTTTATTTTAAAGGGGAGGGTTTCTTTATACACAATCTAGAGCCTCTTTTCATTTCTTTTGGTCCCTAGTGGCTTTCTTTCTTTTCTCAAGATACACTTTAGCTCAACTTTTTCATAATCTCTCATCCAAAACCCAAGATATTTACTTTTAGAACACATAAACCCACTCACCATCCTAGATGCTAGCTCAAAAGAGGTTCCTATGCTAGCAAGAGATGAGAACAATCTTATGTCGCCTCCAATACTCTCAAGAGTTTGTACATGACAAGCTATCAAAAGACTCATGCAAATCAAATGTTTGGTCTCAAAAGAATGGCTTGGGTTCAAGGGTGTGGAGTACCATTTGGGTTAACAAAAGAGTGGTAAAATGGAATAAGTTAACCCAAATGTGTATGAGATCCATGATCAAGTATTGAAGTGCCCATATGCAAGAGAGCTTAAATTCATTAAGCCAAAATTCAGATTGGAACTGGTTTCAAGAACAATGTCAATTTCAAGCAAGCAAACATGTTTCAAGAAGAGTTTTCAAGGCTCGAAGCGTGCAAGGCTTTGAAGAAATGCTCAATCTACTTGATATGTCTAACTAGGGCGTCACTTTGAGCTCTTGACAAGTGTTCCTTACAAGGTGTTTTAAAATCATTGCTCTCAATGCAAGTGAATGCAAGCTATATGCTCTAGACTCTCCTAGAAATGCAAGTGATTGTTTTTTGGGTTTTCAAAATTTTCAATTTTTTGTAGTTTTTCTATGTCAATAAGTATGTACAATGCAATGCATGAGACTCATGACAAGAAAACAAAACAAAACACAAAGTGAGACAATAGACTCTCCCCAAAACTTACTTCACACAGTCCCTTGTGTGAGAGTAAACTTGGAAGAGAGATCAAAAGAGAGATAAAATATGATTGAACTAAATATTTACAAAGGTAAGGATGCAGTTAATTACTTGGAGTTTGCTTGAGGAGAGAAGGGAATGAGGAAGGATGGCATGTTGTGACCTTGGAATATTGGGCATGACCTTTGGGAAGTGTATGATTTCCCCTAAACTTGCCCTTAATCTTATTCAAACAAATTAAAACAAAAGAAAAGATAGATATATAAATATCTACAGGATAATCATGGGACTTCTTCCCAAGTGAGATTGTTTTTAAGTCACT